AATGGCAACAGACACAGGACTATTTGAGGTGGGAGGGAGTGAGGCAAGGGTTGAAAAAGTGTTGATCCAACAGTGTGTGTTCACTTTGTGTCTCTGTGTCACATTTTGGTAATTATCACAATATTTCAAACCTGTTTGATATGTCTATCATGGTGATGTGTGATAAGTGATCTTTGATGTTACTATCATAATTGTTTTGGGAGTGCCACAAACCACACCTATATAGGATGGCAAACCCTAATCAATAAATGTGTGTGTGTTCTGTCTGACTGCTCCACTGAAAAAAAAAAAAAGAAAAACCTGTGTACTATGGTACTGTGTTCAGTACCTGAGTGATCATTCATACCCCAAACCTCAGCATCACGCAATATACCCAGGTAACAAACCTACACATGTATCCCCTGAATTTAAAGTTGAAAAAATTATTTTACCGGTTATAAAAACGACTCTTTTGCAATGAGATTTGCAATTTTAAGACTTTCTGAAGAATGAGATCTAGTTTTTTAGTCAGTATTTTTCAAGCTGAGGTACTCCTTGGGTCCATGAAAAACTGTTTAAATACACATTATTCATGTTTGAAGAATACAATTTTAGGATATCCAATGGGGTTTTATGTTACCCAATAATGTTTTAGGGACCCCACCTCATATGGCTATGTGGCAAAAAGTTTATTATCTTTATGAATTAGGGAAGTTTCAAGGCAGATATGAATTGCAACTGTACACTCCGGTGTGCAAAAAGTCATGTTTTTAAAATCAACCTGAATCTGAATCTCTATCCCACAGGACTGAAAGGGAATCTTTACTCTCTTCCATCCACACTGTTAACTAGTGTCAAAGTGCCCCATGGCTTCCTGAAGTCCAGGGCTCTCTGCTTCCACACCATGCTTAGAGGAAATGAATGTGTAGTCTGAGCTGAGTTACTTTCCCAGTGGAGCTCCGTGCCACTGAGCTCTTCCCCAGGAAGTTCTCTCTCCTTGGGCCATCGTTGCTGACCAGCAGCAGTTTCCCAAGACTCCTGGGTGCCATCCCACACCCATCCTCCACCATCTCGTCCCTTCCTCACTCTCAGGCAATCTACTGTCTCTATTATTCACAAGAGAAATATAGTCTACTTTTTCCACTTAGGCTATAATTAAACAAGGTGACACAGGCGTAGTTAAATCCCTCTCATTTTAACATGTTCCCCTTGGCAGATAAGTAATTAAAAATTTACATCCTAGGGAAGGAGTCAGGTGCCTTTAAAGTCAGACCAGGGAAAGTTAGTTCTGTTCAAGACCTCTGATAAATGGTAATTCAGTGGAAACTGCTTTGTTTCCTTCATCCTCAAAGATAATGTTCTCTTATTTGAGACAGAAAAAAATCTTTGTTAGAAAAACACAGTCCTCTTATGCAGCAAGAAATCATCATCAGAAGGGAAAAGACCTGACAAGGGAAGGTTATGAAAACTCTCCTGGGAGTTAATTCCAGTTATTAAGCAAGCAGCAAGGGAGTAAGGGACTATTTATTGAACACTTATTATCATATGCCACACATTAGAAGCTGAGAAAGCATACCACTGCCTTATAAAGCAAATGACAAAAACTAAGTCATAAGAGCCCAAGCAGAAGGGTAAAAGCTCAGGACTAGGTGAGCAGACAAATGCAGGTATCAGATGAAAAGGCGAACTTTCTATTTGAATCAGAATAAAGGAAAGCAATACAAACTGGGAAAGGTCCCCAAAGAAGTGCTGATGCTGTTCTCATCCACTATCTTGTCAGTACCATCTGAGGAAAGAATATGGAGTTAAGATTCAAGGAGCTAGTTGACTGACAGGTTTACATTTGTGTTTACATTTTTCTAAATTTTGCTTTGGAATTATTTTCATAAATATATTGTTAATCATGTATTATCCTTTAATTGAGCTTAATAGTAGAAAAGGAAGCTATAAGTTTGAGTTTTTATTTACCATGCTATACAAACCTAGCTTCTTAGACAAAAAAATAATCCAACTATCTGTGTAGCTTACATGAATTATGAACAATATTATGTCAAAAATATTTTTATTAAAGTACCCACCAAAATACATAAACCTATAAAGTGACAGCTAATTCCACAAACATTTAAGCAATTACTTTGATCACTTAACAAGCATAAACTACTAAACTGGATAAATCTGAACATAATTGTGTTTGTAAGTTTTTCCCCTGCTTTCAAAACTACAGCAACAACAACAAAAACACACACACAGAAAAGAAAGGATAAATGATGTATTCTTTTTTTTTGGATGTATTCTCTTATGATAGCAATAGTTATAAAAATCTGTAAAGCTATAGGATTCTCTAAAAGGTGTATTTTGTGACAACACAGTCTAGACCTCTACATTTTCTCCCATTGGACAGATTAATGGCTTGCAGTGACATCACTGTATGGCAATTTTAAAGTATTAGTTCACATTTTCAATTTACTGTGTGCTCCAAAGTAAGCCAACTACTTAATATGCTTCCAAAGGTGATAGTTTCCTGTCTCAAGCAACTTTGTTTCCTTTTTTAGTAAATCTGGTCACATAGTTATACAGCTATAATGTATGCATAATTTAAATATGCATGCCAGCAGGGCATAGTGGCTCACGCCTGTAATCCTGACACTTTGGGAGGCTGAGGCGGGTGGATCACTTGAGGTCAGGAGTTCAAGACCAGCCTGGCCCACATGGTGAAACCCTGTCTCTACTAAGAATACTAAAATTAGCTGACTGTGGTGGCAGGCACCTGTATGTAATTCCAACTACTCAGGAGGCTGAGGCAGGAGAATCGCTTCAACCCTGGAGGCAGAGGTTGCAACGAGCCAAGATCTCACCACTGCCCTCCAGCCTTGGTAACAGAGTGTGACTGTCTCAAAAAATAAGGATAAAAAATTTTTAGTTCCATGAATGGCAAATGTAAGCAAAAATCACAAACAATTTTTTCAACCTCTGAAATGTAGGGAAATTCCACATGAACATCTCAGACTTACCCTCTTCCCTCTGTGGTGACAATTAACTGGAGGTGACAACTCATGTCCACCTTATCCAGGGTATGAGGTCTCCAGCCCCCACTCCTCTCCCTATAGTCACTATGGCCTGAGACCAAGAGTCAGTGGCCATTTACTAAGGCATTCTATGCTGCTCTGCTCTGCTTTTCTGAGAAAGGAGTTGAGAAAGCTCATCAAAGTGAGAAAAAGCATAGTTAGGTGAAAGTAAATGAGTTAAAATATTTCCATGTAGTTAGTATGTAAACAATGTACCTAAAAAAGACAATTATCCTATTAAAAAGTTCCTGGCCTGCTTCTCTGATTTATTAACATACTTGAGTCCTATGTGCATTTTACATTGTTGACTTCTAGGTTTTCAATTATTTAGAAGTATTTTTGGAAAAACCTACCGTATCTAATTTCAGTTTATTAGTACCATTAGTTAGAGAAACATGAACTCTAACGTACTCAAACTGATCCTTTTAATATTTTGTCCAATACTGGAGAATAGGTTTACAGGAAAAGGATGTCCCAATTATCTAGATTGAATGAGGTAGTTTTTCTCTGTGCATTGTAGCTAGCAATATTTATATATCAGTAAATGTTGGACTTCTTGAGAGCAGAAGCAATGTGGTATATCCGGAAATTAAGTCTTCAACGGAGTCAGTTTGCTGGAGAAATGTTCTAATCTTTTGAGAAGTCCTAGATTTATAGCTTCATAACTGACTATATATACCCGAGACCCTAGCAAAAGTTCAGCCTCTATTACCAAACATCAAAAGAGGATAATGCTGAAGTCCTACCTGAACCCTAAGATTACAGGATTGTTCTAAGAAAGACCTTTTGCATAAGCAAAGGTTTATGTTTTTAATAGATCACAAAATTTGAGACACTTTCAGATCAAAGACCACTGTTTAGAATAAGTCCCAACTGGGCTTTCATTTTGTCAATTTAATAAAGATTATATTAAACAAATTAGGAAAGTCTGAAACTATATACTTCAAAGGCTAAATCTTACGTTCTAAATTCAGGATGAAAACAGTACAGGTTTTAAAATAAGGGGCTGTAACTAACTGAAAGACAACTTAGCAATTAGGACAAGTAGAAAGTATTTTAAAAGACATGAAAAGGAGTAACTCCTAGTAGCAGCTGTGATACACAGATGCACAATGTAGAGCTCCCAAGTATCCCACCTTTACACACTGTTAGCTTCAATGAAATTGACCTATCACTGACCTGGCTTTAGAATCAGGGAGATACGAAATAAGGGCTCCTAAGGTGGCTCTGCTACTTACCAGAGGAGTATCAGAGCAAAGCTGCTGCAGTAGTGATCCCTCTCAACTCTGGATCTGTGAGCTGGTTGCCATGCCACACTCCATGCTTGATTCTCACTTCCCAGGTTGACACCTTGACGTCTCACACTGTGCTGTTTCATGATGACTGTTCTATGTTCTGACTGCCATCATCACAATTCTGTGGTCTAATCTGATTCAGTTGTGTTTGGGTATGGTATTCCCCACCACAAAATCTGTTCTACCTGACATCATCAACTACCTCCCCTCTTCTTTCTCCACTGTGAAGAAGAGTAAAAAAGTATTCCTACCAAGCAGTACTTTGGGCCTCCTAATCCCCATCCTCTGAAAGGAGGAAGGTCAGCAGGAAAATGGTTCTCACTGGAAATAAATATCAGCAGTTGGTTTGGAATACCAACAATTATAATGCTGTAAAAACTCAGACATGCTGATCTTATAACTTCTAAACTCAAAAATGTAGTTATCTCACAATAATTAGCTTCCATTCCCAATAAGGAATTAGTGTATAAAGCAACTAAAAATTTATATATATATATATATATATATATATTTTAACAAGAGTCTCACTGTACCCAGCATTTCTACATAATTTTGTGGAATGTAAGACACGTAAATATAAAGAAGATCAAAAATTTGAAGAGGTCAGAGTAATAAATTTTCATTGGAAACCTTTCCTCAATGAATATATAGTTTACTGTAGAAACAATACCTCAACCTTTACTGAAAGTCAAAGTTAGCAAAAACTAGTGAGTCAACTCCATCCCATGATTAAAAAGGCCAGATTATTGTCAAAGGGATAAATTCTAGGTCTTACATTCTTTTTCCATGATCTACTTTTTAAATTACTTTTTCCTAAATATGGTAGATCATGGCTCCCCTTAACTTTCAACTGTCAAAAGCAGCCACACCTACCTCTTTGCAAGATGAAATTGTGATAATCTCACAGGTATCTATGCCATGTAAACAGCAGGAATGTCACCACCTCCAGGAATGTCATCTTGGGTAGGCCCAGGACATGGAATGTAATAAAGAGCCCTGTGTATAAGACAGGGTCACTCCTTAGCTGAAACTTGTAAGGACCCATCACAGGCAACTGGAATTTCTGTATCCTGACTTCATTCCCAGGCCAACTCTGACATATAGAGTTCTAATTCTAGATAAACTGTAATTAGTGAAGAGAAAATATACCATAATTTCAGCAAAAACTCCAATTATGACAAATAACATCTACACTAAGAGAGGTGTTAGTCAAATGCTGTCTTGTATTAGATAGTACTAATGGCTTAAGCAAGTTAAATTCATTAGTCTTTTAAGGATGTCAGCCTATTTCTATCATTCAGTCCTTATCTTGAAACTGAGTCTTTGGTGGATGTAATATAATCTCACCTTAGATATGAGCAGAGAATAGCCATTAAAATGCATCACAGACCAAAACTTTTCTATTTGGTAACAACAGTAACAACAGTGATTCTACTTATAGAAAACAGGCTCTCAAATCTTAAAAGTTTAAAGTTTCATTAGAAAAATCATAAAAATAAGAAAAGTATTCATCAAGAACAATAATGGTATTATTTCATTATCAAATTCATTTAAACCATGAATTACAGTATAGCAAGAGAAATGACAGCATCAAGTCTTATATAACTAACTCATCTGCACAAGAAGTCCTTAAAAACAAACATTACACCATATGGGTTTAATAAAAGGCAACTGCAGTTCCAATTTCCAAGCTGTATCCTTAAGTTGAAAGTTTTCTGTAGTTGGTTTTATATTAAACTGTCTCCATAACATGTTTAAAGGTGTATGTCATTTCATCACCAAGTATTTTAGTCCCAAAATGTTAAACCAAGCATCTGATAGTGAGGTATCCTGTTCTTGCCTCTCATTTATTTTGCTGAGGAATATAAAATTACTTTAAGGTCAATCCAAGTTCAAGTCCACACCAGAGTTCTATCTAGCACATGAATATTTGTCCTCCTTTGCTTCTTAGGAAGCATGATTAAGAGTCATAGCCACAAAACTGAGATTATGATGATGAACTTTTGTTTTTTCTTTTTAGTTTTTTGTTTTAAGTCTGTCTACTAAGTTGTATCTCTTCTTTCACCTGCTCCCGGAATCTCCACCTCCCCTATCAGATTTAGATTTGGGAAGAGGTGGTTTTGTTCAAAGTCTCTTTAATTTCTTCGGTATTCAAATTATATCTGAGTTTATTTAAGACTTTAAAAAGAAGGAAATAAAAAAGCTTACCTCTTTTTATTGTTTCATCAAGAAAATGTTAAAACCCTGACAGAAGCTTACCATCTGTTCCAACTCTATTCTATCAAGGCTCCCAAACAGCTCCCCATTTGTTATGGCAGCAGTGACAGGATGTGCATTACCAGCTCCTGTCAGCACTAGCATGACACCACAGATTGGATCTTTTTCCATTGTTTATTTCCAAAAATTAGCAAAACCCTTTGTAATTTGTTGAACTCTATCAGAATAAATTCAGTCTCCAAAGACGAAGCTACTTGAGTTGTTCCATTCTGTTCATGCACATAACAAAAGCCAGGATCATTCATTTATCCTGAAAAAAACTATACAGTGTGTGTGACAACTGCAAGCGAGGTTGGCTAAGACATTCCTGCAGCTCAGAGAAATTAAAGCAAAGTGCAAGCTGCAAGTGCATTCTAAAGTTAAGTCTCCCACTTGAAATTTAACTACACTAAAGAAGGTTAGAGGAGCATGAACAGGATCAATGTCTTCAACAATTACCGAGGTGGGAAGCCACCTCTGTGTGCTCCTCCACGACCCCCTCTAAAGCCACCTCTTTCTCCTCGGAAGTTAGATCGATTTCTTTCTCGTCCACGGCCAGCGGAAGTTCCACCTCTTCCACCACCTCGGGGAGCTCCACCTCCTCGGTCAGATTTAGATTTGGGAGGAGGTGATTTTGGTCGAAGTCTCTCAATTTCTTCTGTACAACCAGTCAAGTAGGAATTAGGAGCACTGAAATAGGATGCATATGTTTCCGCATTGTAGTTGCTATTTGTAAGCGTTGGTCCAACTGTGAGCCAGCCTAAAATGGAGGAAAAAAAGATTATCCTTTTTATTTGCAATTCTCTCTTCTCTTATTAATTCTTTAGAACCTAGTTCAAATCCCCAATGCATTCTTAAAGATGTTCCCATCATTCATCCAATATTGATCTCTTTTACAGAATGGCATTGAATTGTGGTCATATTTTAAAGATTTCACAGGTATATATCTTGTTTTAGTAAATAAATAAAATACAATAAAATTTGTATGCACAAGGATTGAAAAGTATTATGTAAAAAAATTATTTGAAACTTTCCTAAATGTTACATTAACTTTTCAATTATTAAGAGATTACCATCTGATGTTTGCTTTTATTCTTGTAATAGTTTTGTTTTTTCTTAAGTTTTCTGTTTCCTTAAACAGCAGTTGCCACTGAGATTATTCTCAGATTCAGGAGCTATATTTGTGCAGGACAGGTTAATAAAAGGAAGAGAAAAATCTGTTTTTTATTTACTAAAACATGATAACTATATTCTTGATATGTTATATATATGGACACTTATGCTTCCTGAACAAACACACTACTTCATTTGAAATTTTAGAGACATTATTTTCTCTTAACTCAGTGAAGGGGAAATATTTGCTTACCATAAGCTCTGCTGCCAAGAAATATTTTACTTTTATAAGAGAATAAAGTCATCCATAGAACTTCCAAACAAGATGTTCATGTATATTTGCAGAGGAAGCCTAAACAACTCAAATTTCATTACATAGCCATATATATATACTATGTACAAAATATACGTATGATCTAATATGCATATTGAGGAAAAATTGGTTTAAAAAATGAAGGAAATTCTATAGATTAAGTCATAGTATTCTCACTCTTTAAAAATCTATACTATTTTAATTTAGAATTTAATAATTCAAGGATACATGCTGCAGTTTCCAAGATAATCAATGAAGAACAACAAAAGAATACATAACAAGTTAATGAAAAGGAAAAATGAAATGATAAAAGAGTAATTAATCAATCCAAAAGAAATGAGAGAAAAAGAAACAGAACAGGTGGTACCAATATAAAGCAAACAGGAAGATGGTCATTTATGCCCAAAAATGTCAGGAATTACATTACATATAGATTGACTAAACGTCCAATTAAAAGACAAAAGTAAACTGGATGAAAAAGCAACTGTGTGTTTATTTGCAAGAGATACATCTTATAGGTAACAACAGAAAAACCGAAAGTACAAGGCTGGAAATAATATGCCAGGCAAACACAAACCTAAGAAAGTTATAATAGCTATACTATCAGGTGAGGTAGAATTTAAGGTCAAAAACACTGGATAAAGGACATTTCATAGCATTAAGGAGACCAATCTACCAGGAAGGCATAAAAGTTCCACCTTTTCTATGCACCTAACAACAGATCCTCTAGTAGATATAAATACAAACTGACAACTAAACAAAGAAACCACAAATCCATAACCATAACAGATTTCAATAGACCTTTGTCACTTAACAAGTACTTTAAAAATATCAGTAAAGATATTCGTGATCTACATAGCATACGGTTAATAAATACCACAACCACAACAAAAACAGAGTACACATTCTTTTCAACTGGACTTAGAATATTTATTAAAGCTGAGCCATAAAGCAAATCCCAACAAATTACAAAGAAGTGAACTTTACAATATAAATTATTTGACCACAATATAGCCCAAAAGCAGTAACAAAATAACTTAAGCAACATAATACTGAATATCCAATAGATTAAATATGCAATCACAATGAAAATTTGAAAAAACATTTGAAATAAATGATAATAAAACACTACATACCTAACTTTTGGAATGCAATAAAGCTGTGCTTAGAGAAATTTAGAACTCGCAATATAATACCATAATACAAAAAAGCTGAATATCAATGTTAAAATACTTCAGAAGGATAGCAAGTAAACCCAAAATAGAAAGAAAACAAAAAAGAAGAAATTAATTAAATAAAAATAAACATGCAATAAGGCAATGAGAAGACAGTCACCAACTAAGAGAAAATATTTGCAAAAAACAAATCTGATAAAGTACTATTCTCCAAAATATACAAATAACTCTTAAGCCTCAACAATAAGAAAACAAACAGCCAAATAAAAAATGGTCCAAAGACCTTAAAAGACATCTCACCGAGGAAGACATATAGATAGCCAATAAGCATATGAAAAGATGTTCATCCTATGTCATCAGAAAAAATGCAAATTAAAACAACAATATGATACCACTACACACACACTAAAATTGCCAAAATCCTGATCACTGACAACATCAAATGCTGCTGAGGATGTGGAGCAACAGGAACTTTCACTGCAGGTGGAAATGCAAAATGGTACAAGCACTTCAGAAGACAGTCTTGGCAGTTTCTTACAAAATTAAAGATATTCTTATACAATCCAGCATTTGTGCTCCTTGGTATTTACCCAAAGGAGCTGAAAACTTATGACCACACAAAAGCCTGCACACAGATATCCATGGCTGCTTATTCATAATTGCCAAAACTTGGGAAGATGTCCTTCATTAGGTAAATGGATACATAAACTGTGGTACATCCAATGGAATATTATTCAGCACTAAAAAGAAATGACCTATCAAATCATAAAAAGGCACAGAGAAATCTTAAATGCCAATTGCCAAATAAAAGAAGCCAATCTAAAAAGGCTACATACCATACAATTCCAACTATATAACATTCTGAAAAAGGCAAATTATGGAGACAGTAAAAAGATAAGTGTTTGTCAAGGGTTGTGGGAGGGATGAATAAGTGGAGCATTGGAGATTTTTAGGGCAGTGAAACTATTGAGTATGATCCTATAATGGCAGATACATGTCCTTATACATTTGTCTAAACCCACAGAATTACCACACCAAAAGTGAATCCTAATATAAACTGTGGACTTTGGGTGATTATGACCTGTCAATGTAGGTTCATCATTTGTAACAAATGTACCACTCTGGTAGGAGATACTGATAACTGGGGAGGTTATGCGTGTTTGGGGGCAGAGTTATATAGAAAGCCTCTGTGCCTTCCTCTTGATTTTGCTGTGTACCTAAAACTGTTCAATTTTAAGTACAGCAAGAGAATCAATCAAACACATTAGAACTTTATTTTACACAGTACCATGTCCTATTTCTTGACATTCATAATCCAAAGAATCATAAAGTTGTTGTTGTTTTAACTGAAGTCCTACCTGGTCGAATTGTACTATCTCTTCCAAATAGATGAAGGCGTCTTCTACCAAGACAAAAATGCTCAATTATATGAAAAATTTCTACAGGTTTTTCTATGTTGCCAATTTCAGGTTCTTCTGTTATAATTAAGTCAATGTCAACATTAGCATGAATGAAGTCCCCGTCTGTGCTACGCTTCACAGTTCCTTTGATCCCCATGAGGCAGTGTTCCTAAATAACAAGAGCATACCAATTAATCTCTTTTAATCAACAGTCATTCCAAAACCTTTTACATTTCTGATGTCCTCAATTCTAAAACAATCCTCATTTCTCCAAATCTTTCGGATACAGTTCTTTCTCTTTTTTTTTTTTTAGACAGAGTCTTGCTCTGTCATCCAGGCTGAAGTTCAGTGGCATGATCTCAGCTCTGTAGCCTTGACCTCCTGGGCTCAAGCAATCCTCCCGCCTCAGCCTCTCTAATAGCTGGGATCACCAGAACATGCCACCACACCTGGCTAATTTTTAAATTTTTTGTAAAGGCAGGGGTTTCGACATGTTGCCCAGGCTGGTCTTGAACTCTTGGGCTCAAGTGATCTACCCACCTTGGCCTCCCAAAGTGCTGGGATTACAGAAGTGAGCTACCATTCCTGGTGGGATACAATTCTATGGGCAAAAAACCAACAGGAGAACCTGGATTTCTGGATGAGGAAAGACTGCCATGTAAATAAGAAAAACAAACTCTTTTGTACGCTCTCACTTACAACACTCAGTATTTTCAGAATACTTCATTTCTGATCCCAGATGTGTGGGTTTTTCCCATCCCAAGCAATTCTCCACTTCTCCACCAACACTATAATTCAATTCAGTTCTGACACTATCTACCTACTTAGTGCAGACTCCACATGACTGCCCTACCTTCAGATACCAATCACAAGTCCAGGTTGTCACCTGTGCTTCTGACCAACCAGCTATAAATCAGAGGTTCCCATGACCTCTTTCTCAGGTTAGATCATTTGCTAGAACAGCTCACAGAATTCAGGAAAGCTCTTTACTTATTATGACCTATTTGTTATAAAAGGATACAATTCAAAACAGCCAAATGGAAGGGACAGACATTGACAGGTATGGGGCACGGGTCATGGAGCTGTTGTGCCCTTTCCAAGTGGACCACCTTCCCAGAAACTCCACAGGTTCACCAACACAGAAGCTCTCCAGCCCCTGTCTTAGGATTTTATGGAGGCTTCATTACCTAGGCATGATTCCAGTCCAAAAAAGACTTAATAAGAAAGACCCTCCCACCACCCGCTCCCTCAAAAGAGAAGAATAAAAACTGTTAAAGCCTGATACTAGCAGGGCAGAGTCACATGAAGCAGAAGTTCTCAGGGGTTCTTAAAGGAAAAAGAAGAAGAGAGAAACATTTCTAAGCTGGCCAGCTAGAGTCTTGCTGCTATCTTTTCTTTCTGAGCCTAGAAAAAGAAAAATTCTGTGGGACAGGGTGATCAAAAGCATTTATCTAACTTAGAAATATGGCATTTAGGACATAGAGGAATACATACTCCCCTTTCTAGCATGGTGGGGGTTGATCTAAGATGGTGAATAAATCATTTAAAACCTAACTTGGATGTATTCCTGTAATGCTCAATGCTGTTTTTACAAGTCTAAGAAAAGGACCTTCTCATAAAGTTAATTAAACAGCATACAGTGATTTGGAAAAGCTTGAGAGAAAATCATGAAAATTTAAAAAAATAAATCAGTAAAAGCAATACCTTTGTTCTCTGAAAGACAGCCTTTGGATCTAAAGTCTTAGTCTTCCCAGGATTGTTTTTATTGGTTTTAATCCAACAAATATCTTCACATCTTCTGTAACCCCATTTTCGTAAACACTAGAAAAGAAAGAATTTTAAACAGAAATCCTTAACTTAAAGAAATAAATAATACAATAATCAACAGCATTAAAAACAAAAAAACTTTCTAGAGGTTTCAGACACTAAATTCCAAGGTTTCAAGGTAATTTTGTCTTAGTGTAGAGTATAGAAAGAAATGCCAGTCTTTAAATATACAGCCATAATATAGAATACATATTTACCTTTGGATATCAATGTCACATATATAGTTAAATATCAAAACACAGAAAGGATTACATAATATCCCAATTCTGCATTCTCTTGTCATTAATGGATACTGGGTTTTAAATTGTAAGCAGACACTCAGACCTTCTGTAATCACAAAATAGTTCAAAACACAATTTGATTCCTGCCACCTCAATATTCTATTCTCTGACAAAGCTATACACTGCTGAAAATTTTCTAAACGCAAACATCAAATGAGAGTCTTATAAAACTGTATTTCTATATTTAATACAACTGTAAAAATGTTCAGACTTAAAAGTGTTAAGTGTATCTCTTTGTTGGATAAAACTGTACTTTCATCTCTATATAATCTAGAAAATAAAGATGTGAACCTTAATGTCCTAGAATCTATTATACATGAACATGAAACAAATACCAGCTAAATGATTGCTCACAGTGACCTTTGAAAGCTTACCATATGCCACTGCTGGCTAGCTGCTGGGAATAAAAACATGAATAAGATACAGTCCCTACCCCCATCAACTTAAGATTAAATGAGGGAAAAATAAATAAGTACTGTATTGCTGGTATGATGATCAGTACATATAAAGATACAATAGAGTATGAAACATACACTTTTCAGAAATGCTTATTGGGCAATAACACCTCAAAATAAAATTTAAAATTTTATTTTTTTGTTTAAGACAGAGTCGGACTCTGTCGCCAAGGCCAGAGTTCAGTGGTATAATCTTGGCTCACTGCAACCTCCACCTCCGAGGTTCAAGCAATTCTCATGCCTCAGCTTCCCAAGCGGCTGGGACCACAAGTACGTGCCACCATTCCCTGCTAATTTTTGTATTTTTAGTAGAGATAGGGTTTCACCATGTTGGCCAGGCTGAGGCTTGAAATCCTAGCCTCAAGTGACCTGCCCGCCTCAGTCTCCCAAAGTGCTGGATGATAGACATGAGCCACTGTGCCCAGTAGAATTTTATTTTAAAATCTCCAAAATCGAAATCAATTATCTATTCCTGTTACTAAATATTTATTTTACAGCAGCTGTCATTAACATCACTATGACCTAAATTCTACATGCCCTAATCCACTAATTTATCAAAAGCTCATGAGTATTTTTCATGCTGAATTATTTTTTTTTAATTGTTTTTTGCTAAACTCTCACCAGTATAATAAACTGCTGCATATGCAAATAAGATAAAAATCTCCTGGATGGCTACTGAAGAGGCTGAGGCAGAAGAACTGCTTCAACTGGGAGGCAGAGTTTTGTAGTGAGCCATGATTGCACTCTAGCATGGGCAACAGGGCAAGACTCTGTCTCAAAAAAAAAATTTTTTAAAAAAGGATAAAAAACCTCCTGATCATGTTCAATCTAATTTGGGGAATGCAAGGAAAGATCAAAGTCAAAGTTAAAACAAAGTAAATACCAATATACCTATAAAAACATTTGTTTCTCTCTAGCTTTTCTAGAGAATCTTGAAGAGCCACTACCAAAAAAAAGGAGACACCCAACTGAAATATAATTATAGTCTATTTTGGAGTTAGTAAATGATAGAAGCAATGGTATTACCCAACAGCCTTACTATTTATGTAAAGAATATAAAGTAATTGTGGAATTTCAGAATTGGGGCACAATCTTATTTCCATATAATTGTACTTGTTGTCTCATATAATCTTACTTAAACTTTTCAACTGTTAAATGGATACCTCCCCAAATTAGAATGATTAAATGAAATCATTTGGAGTGTAGGAAGTAATAAGTCATAAAAATGAAAAGTGTCAACCAACAAAACAGGACAAAACTGGGAACCTCAGCAGTAAGTACCTTTTTGCATAGCAGCTGAATTGAGAGCAAAATTAAGATTCCTGATACACAGTCATAATACTGTCATTATTCTTGTTTAAAATAGCATATATAAATATTATTTTGTTCCTTTTGGCAAAATACTCCAATCAGGGCCAGGTGTGGTGGCTCATGTCTATAATCCCAGCACTTTGGGAGGCTGAGGTGGGAGGATCCCTTGAGCCCAGGAGTTTGAGGACAGCCTGGGCAACATAACAAGACCTCATCTCTGCAAAAACTAAAAAAACTAACCGGGGTGGTGTTGTGCCTGTGGTCCCAGCTATGAGGAGGCTGAGATGGGAAAACTGCATGAGCCCAGGAGGTTGATCGAGGCTGCAGTAAGCTGTGTTTGTAACACTGTACTCCAGCCTGGGGAATAGAGTTGGACCTTGTCTCAGAAAAATAAGAAAAAACGCCAATAAAAAATAAAAATAAAAAAGCTCTAAAATACAATTAAATATCAGATACTTAAAATAAGTTCAGGTGTTATATCTTATTCATTCATTCATTCATCCATTCATTCATGTCTTCCATATGCTGTGTTACTTTTCCAATTTTATGTGACTTCTATTTGGATTTCAGGAGCCAATACTAGTTAGAATACTTTTTAGCTACTAATAAAGAATAGTAAACAATACCAAAGCAACTCATTTTTGAGGTATAATTTGGAGTTTCAAATCTTTAAGCTGTTCTCCTACACTTGCTATAAAGTACCTTTTGAAAGAGCTACACATTCATCCCTAGTCTAGCTGGTTAACTGACTTACAAGTATTGCATTTCTTACGTTCTTTTCTGGACATTTTTTTTCTCACTATTTTAGAATTATTCAAGAAACAAAGGACAAAATAACATCGATTTTCAAACTTCCTATGCAAAATATTGTTACTTTTTTTTTCTTATTAATGTAAAAATTCACTTTATAAAAGCACCATCTTACCACTCTTCCAAGGTCCAACCCCTCCCCAGAACCACACCAGAGAAAAATAAACGATCGAGGTGCTGCAATCTCATCAATTTCTAACTTCATAATCTGTAAGAAATCAAAAGAATATTGCATAAAAGTATTTTGTTTCCCATTCATCCAAAATCCAAAAGAACAACAATTGAGATTTATCAGGTTACCCAGTAGATGTGTTCTTGCAGTGTATTAGTTTCCATTAGGAACTATAATAGAAAAAAATGTTATCCTTAAAATTACTTGTTCTGTTGTTGTTTTGTTACATTATATATAAACAACATACGCATTTGTGCACACATGATTGCAACACTGCACTCCATATATACACTTGCTTTTATACAGAAAGAGCTTACAGGAAACCATAGCTATAGAACTATGGAATCTTTTAAGATGGAGCTTGAGAGAAATTCTCCAGCAATGTCTTACCATTTATCGAAAAAGAATGAAGAGCTTAACTGAACCCAACGTTAGGAACAAAATTAAAATATAACAATAAATGTTTTGGGGAGGACTGTGATATACAGTGTCTACAGAACTTCTCAATAAATCAATATACATTATTTTCCTACAATTACTACTTTGTCTGAAATGTCAAAAAAAAATTAATTATTCTCTTTTGACACTAATTCTAAAAGCTAAGTGTTGGTATTTTAATTAGGTGCTTGTGTTCTTAAGTAAAACACAATGACCACTACTGACTCTAACATGAAAAAGAACACCTGTGAAACCCAAACACTTCTCTTATTTACATTTTGTTTATTACATTATCTAATGGCACTTTCTTTAGGGCAATATCTCATAAAAGTTAAAGAACTCTGGGGCCAAATTTTTCAATATGCCAGCCACAACTGGTGAACAGTGAAATTAAACTAAAATTAAAAATCTGCATATAAAATAGAATTTATTTCAAGAACTGTATTAGTTTATCATATATAATTGAAGGTCTTGTACCTTCATTGCTGAAACTTCATGGACTGGCTACAGAAAACAAAGTTCTGCCTAATTATTAATCAATGATATAATCAGATTCGTTGTTTAAATTTTCTTTTCTTTGATCAAACTGACAAAAAAATGGTTTTTAATATCAATATTCAACTTTAATGAGGATATAGTTAACTAGACATTGTTAAACACTACTGAAAAGAATGTAAATTTACACCTATCTGGAAAACTTCTCTGCACTAATTACCAAGAGCATTAAGTCTTTAATCTTAAGTGTTAGAAATACTATATTCTGCGTACTTTTCTGATTTTTTTCAACAATAAACACAGGTAACACTTTAAACAAGGAAGGGGAAAAAACTTTTACATTATAAGAGCCATACAAATGTAAATAAAAGTGCTAGGAGTATTAAAGCTAATAGGAAAAGCTTCAAGGAAGATGAATTAGAGGTAAATCTTGGAAAAACAGACATTCAGAGTAGTAACTACCATTAACTCAGAAAGGGACATGCAAGGATTCCAATCAGTTTCCTAAGAAACATGTCTTCCAGTTTCAGTCCTTTCCTTGGCCTACATCTTTCCTAGAAATGAAGGATACTCCTGACTACATCTCCTTGAAACTCACTATGCCCTTGGTTTCCATTACATTCATACTCTCCTGGTTCTCTTCATTCCTCACTGAACAACTCATTTTTGCATTTCTTTTATACGTGGTCCTTAAATGCAAATGTTTTCCCAGGCTTTACTGTCAGACCACCTTTTTATCCTGAGACATGATCCCAAGATAAACTCATCTATTTGCATGGATTTTATGTGATAATCTTCTAAAACACATATTTTGAAACCAGATCTGTCTGTCCTTTGAGTTTCATATTCCTGTTACCTCTTCCATTTGAATGTCTCACATATATCTAGAGATCAACTTATTAAACATTATTTAATTTCTCTAATCCTGTTCATCTTCTGAAACCCACTCTTAGTTGGTGATAATTCAATCCACCTACCCCAAGATAGAAACCCTTAGATATCCTTAACTCTTCCCCTCATCCCCATCACTCAGTTTCACCAAATCTACCTCCTAAATATTACTGAATTTATCACGTTTTTTCCATTCCTACTATTACCCTAATTCAGGGTCTCTTCATCTCAGCAGTAAGTTACTGTACGAAAGAGTCTTCTAATTGCTCTCCTTTTTCCAGAATTCTTTCCCAGACTCTAGTCCAGCTTCCAAACACCAATCTGACCTTTTTACTAAACTGGTTAAAACTCTTCAAAGACTTATTAATGTCTTCAGAATAAAAGTCCAGACTCCTGACACATCACCTCAAGATAATCCCAATCTGTGTTCCAACAATATCAACTTACATACAGACCTCCCCCTAAGAGATAGTCATTTGCCCCCATGTCTTCTGTTCATGTTGTTCTTTCTGCTTATAAGCCCCATCCCACATCTTTCTTGGGTAATCCAACTCATATATATATATTGTTCAGGTGTCACCACCTCCTCTATGTTCATATGTCCCATCTATCTAGGCTTGGTCAGTTGTTCTCATATCATCTTATGCAGAACTCCATCACTTAATCAACAAAATTCTGTGTCCATATATCCTCTTTATCCATACTTTACTATACTGTAAGTCATTTAAAGAGTAGAAATCCTGTTTATTTATATATATATATAAAAAATTTGGTTTTATATATATATATGCATAACCAAATTCTAATGTTTGCTGAAACTAATCAAATGCAGAATGAATTATGAATCATTCTGTGTGTTTTTAAACTTTTCTAGCTATATAGCCAAGGGCTCTAAGACTAAAATTGTAAGTCTTCTATAGCCTACTCACTTAGTATCTGCTCAATTTTAGCCTCATAAAGAAGAATCATATTAAAGAAACTGTAATATTGGTCAATGTATCTTGGACCTTCAGCTACAATTCCACACTACAAATCTATATTTATAATCCCTACTAAAGTAGGGATATTTATTATCTCACTTTCTGATCAAATAAACATATATTCATTTGAAAATAAAAAATTCATCACAATATATAAAGTTTCATCATACATCATCCCAAGTCCAGCATTTTTCATTAGCAGTGATGCCAGTTTCTCTGTAATACTCTTCTAAAGGAGGTTCCAGAAGAATCACATCAAATTTGGGTGTTAGTTCTCTGATGTCAAAGGCTTCTATATCTGCTTGTAAGTACCTATTTGATTAAAGCAAAAAAATATGTTTTTTTTTAATAAGTTTTTTTAAATAAGATTTTCAAGTGCCTTTCAAAAGGTAATGAAAGAAATATCTTAGATATCACTAAACATTACTACTAAACATTATTTACAAAGTAATCAATAAGATAATTACTAAAATCGTTTTTATTGAGGGTTTTTTTTTCTTCAGTATAGACTTAAACCACCTACAAATGGTCTTAGTACATGAACATAATTGAACTACATAGTAAAAGTCGTATTATTCCCCATGTATATCCAGAAATATTCTTCTCTCAATATTAAAAATCCATATACTCAGATGTGTCTCTGAACCCATTTCCATTCTCATCTGAATTTTCTAAGGAATATCACATTGTTTATTTCTCAATTGTTTAGTTAGGTTAGAAAATCCATTTCTCTGTAAGCTTTAAATTCTTCCCCCTAAAACACAGTTTTCAAATAATTTTCTTTTATTAGTTTTTTCATTAGTAAAAATGTTTATATTGAGTCTTTTCATGCTACCTAATATAAGTTAGTATTGGCCTTTACCGAAAAGTTACTTCACATAGCATGAAAATACTTCAAATTTAAAATACTTTAAATGTAAACGGGTTTTCGGTTTTTTTTTTTGAGATGAGGTCTCACTATATTGCTCAGGCTGAATGCAATGGCTATTCACAAGCCTGATCATAGAGTACTACAATCTCAAACTCCTGGGCTCAAGCGATCTTCCTTCCTCAACATCACAACTAAAGGTGTATTTCAGGGCAGGCATGGTGGCTCATGCCCATAATACCAACATTTGGAAGGCCAAGGTGGGAGGATCAATTGACCCCAGGAGTTTGAGACCAGCCTGGGCAACACAGTGAGACCCTGTCTCTATTTAAATAAACAAATGAATAAATAAGCAAGTAAAGGTGTATTTCAAAATACAATGAATATTAGCGTATACTTACACTTCCTCTCCACATACTAAGACATTCTGTGGTACTTCTAATGACTTACAGAATACATTTTATCAAATCATTACAAAACATTCCAAGCTAAATTCTCCAATTTCAAAGTTCTTATATACATTTCTGAGGAAAACATTATTCTGTTTAGCAACAATTAAAATGAATTATCACATTCCAAATTGTTAAGAATAGTATCTCAGAATGCTATGCTGTGATTAATTTTTGTGTTCTTTTCCTGAATCTAACTTTTCTAAGCTTCCTTTAATAAACAAATTACTTGACAAGAAGTCATTTAAAGGCATTTTAAGTAAGTTATCAAGAATACAGAGTCTTGCTCTGTCACCCAGGCTCAAGAGCAATGGCAGTATCTCAGCTCACTGCAACCTCTGTCTCCCAGGTTCAAATGATTCTCATGCCTCAGCCTCCTGAGTAGCTGGGATTACAGGTATGTGCCACCATGCCCAGCTAATATTTGTATTTTTAGTAGAGACGGGTTTCAGCATGTTGGCCAGGCTGGTCTCAAACTCCTGACTTCAGCTGATCCATCTGCCTCAGCCTCCTAAAATGGCTGATGCCTATAATCCCAGACTGGTCTCAAACTCCTAACCTCAGGTGATTAACCTGCCTCAGCCTCCCCAAGCCTCCACAAGTGGCTCATGCCGGTAATCATCCACTGTGCCCAGCCTGAATGGTTTTTAAGAAAAAAAATATAGAGGTACTTTAATTATCTGAAAAGCTGGAAAAAAAATTAAGAGCCCACTGTGAACTCAGCACCAGAGTTTCAAATTAACATTTTTGCTATAAAGAAGAAACAAGGCTCAGTGTGGTAGCTCATGCCTGTAATCGCAGCACTTTGAGGCCAAGGTGGGCAGATCACCTGAGGTCAGGAATTCAAGAGAAGCCTGAGCAACACAGTGAAACACCATCTCTACTAAAAATACAAAATTCGCCAGACATGCTGGTGCATGCCAAAAATTAGCCAGGAATGGTGGTGCCTGCCTGTAATCCCAGCTATTCAGAAGGCTGAGGCATGAGAATCGCTTGAACCTGGAAGGTGGAGGCTGATTAAGCCGAGATTGCGCCACTGCACTCCATATTCCAGCCTGGGCAACAGAGTGAGACTCCATCTCAAAAAAAAAAAAAAAAGAAAAAAGAAAAGAAAAGAAAAATAGAGCCAGGAGTGGTGACTGAAATGCCTGTAAGTCCAGCTGAGGTGGGAAGAGACTGCTTGATCCCAGGAGATGCACATGAGCCTGGGCAACATAATGAGAACCAGTCTTTAAAAATAAAAAAAGCAAAGAGAAAAAATAGAGTAATAAAGCATGTTAATAAAAGTGCTGAATTTAGGAAAAAGAAAAAAGGTTATAGGATAAACAAATTGTTACTTTAAGCCTGAGCTGGGAACAAACAGTAATAAAAACACTTACATAGGAGGAGTGTTGGATTTAGCTATTAACTCATCCTTTAGCCTGATGAGCTCCCTCAGTTTAGGATATTCTTCAAATCTGTCAGCTAAACCTGAGGAGATAAAACAGTAAATTCTGAATTTCAACTCAACTGAAGTTATTATCAGTAATTCAAAAGTTATGAGCCCTCTCAAGAAAACAAAACAATACACACCATACACGTATCTTTTAAGGAAGCTTAATTTCTAATAATTTTAAATAATATGTATGCACATTTCATACTAATGACATGCAAGTAAAAACCTAGACGTTCTAAAACCTAGTCCAAGTCAATAAACAACTTAATATCACATATTCATTTAGTTAAACTATCTGCTCATAGCACCCGGTTTAACATTCAGGAAAAAAATATAACTACCTTTCTTGTGTGATTTTTTCCCCCTTCCTCTTAGCTAAAAAAAAAAAAAAAAATTCCATATCCTAAAGAAGCTGACTGTTAAGATTTTAACTTAATTTGTTGGATAGTTATCCAAAGCAGAGAAAATGAGTGTTTCTTTTTTCCCCCTCCCAGAGGGAGCACATTCATAACAATATAAATTAAATAAACTTCCTAATTTAAAAGCCAAAGTACAAATATTAGTAACTTTAATATCAAAGAAAAAAGTAAAAGATTTTGTAAAGCTTCCTCAGTTAGTGGTTGCAGATCACATTTCAAATACAACAAATTTGAAGATTTTATTACAGTCAAGTTTCAAGACAGCAGAGTCAGCTTTTAATCATCTATAAAAAGAAGGTACAACTTTTCCTCAATCTGTAATAGTTTTCTAAGTATGCTTTCTTTGCCTTGGGAAGACAGGTATCTTAAGAGCAGAATGGTTTATATATAAATCTGGTTATACAATTTATATAAATTGTTATGCTCCATCTATATTTTGCTTACAAAAACATTAAAATTAGTTTCTCTACTTTAAGGGTAATGTTGTTTACATGTAACAAGGAAAAATTAAATTTGATTATATCAAAATAAAATATTTGTTCTACAAAATATAATATTAAGAAAGTGAGACACAGAATGTAAGAAAATATTTGCAAATTACTCATCCGATAAGAGACTTGTACTCAGAAAATGTAAAGAATATACACATACACACACACACACACACACACGCAAAGTCTGTATATATATATATATATATATATATATATATATATATGACTTGTTATTCAATAGTAAAAAGACAGTTAAACAATTAAAAAATACACAAAGTATTTGGATATTTCTCTACAGAAGATATTTAAATGACCAATACACATACAAAAAGATGCTCAAAACCACAATAAAATATCACTTCACACTTATAAGGATGGAAATAGATAATAGTAAGTGCCCAAGATGTGAAGAAATCGGAACCATCATACATTGTTAGTAAAAATATAAAATCGTGCAGCGGCTTGGAAGAACACTTGATTAGTTTGTCAAAAAGTTAGGCATATACAATGGCATATTACTTGGCAATTTAAAAACCATGAAGTATGGGCACATGCTTCAACATCAATGACCCGTGAAAATACACTAAGTGAAAGAAGCCAGTGACAAACCACCACACATTGTATAGTTTCATTTATGTGAAATGTCCAAAAAAGGCAAATGTATAGAAATAGAAAGTAGATCAGTAGTTACTTAAGTCTGAGAAGGGGCAGATGAGAGGGAGCAAATGTAGATTAACTGCTAATGGGTACAGAGCTTCCTTAGGGGAGATGCACATGTTCTAAAACAGACTGTGGCAATAGTTACACAACACTGTGGATATATTAAAAAAAAAACACTGAATTATACTCTTTGAGTGAATTGTATTTTGTGTGTGTGTGTGTGTGTGTGTGTGTGTGTGTGTATACATACACGTACATACATATATATATATATATAAAATCTCAATAAATTTGTCTAAAATGCAAGAATAGGCACAGTACCAAACTGTAGCCAAAAAGAAACAAACAAATACACAAAAATAGTAATATTGAATAATAGAAAAAGATGGTGTACCGGGCTAGGCACGGTGGCTAACACCTGTAATCTCAGCACTTTGGGAAGCGAAGGCAGGTGGATCACCTGAGGTCAGGAGTTCAAGACCAGCCTGGCCAACATGTGAAACCCAATCTCTACTAAAAATACAAAAATTAGCTGGGTAGGGTGGCAGGCACCTGTAATCCCAACTACTTGGGAGGCTGAGGCAGAAGAATCACTTGAACCTGGGAGGTGGAGGTTGTAGTGAGCCGAGATCACACCACTGCACTCCAGCCTGGGAAACAGAGCTAGAGGGAGGGAAGGGGGAAGGTGGGAAGGGAGGGAAGGAAGGAGAGAAAGAAAGAAAGAAAGAGAGAGAGAGAGAGAGAGAGAGAGAGAAGCAGAAGTACTAAGAACAGAAAAAAGATGTCAAGCTGGGAAAAATAATTTTGTTAGAAATATCCACAAATTGGATAAATTACATGCACGTAGTTGAGAGTCAGCAACAGTGTATTCCAAACAAATCTGACATACCTACATCCCTGATGAAATTCTGAGGTCTATGTCCAGTGTCTACAAAATGTTGGCAGTAATCATTATGTGGATTTAAGCTCTGCGTTCCCTAAATTAAAAGACAAAATTAAATTTGTAACATGTACTGTAATGGCAGATACATTATCTCTGTACTTTGTTTTTTATTACAACACCATATAAAATGCAATCAATTGATAGATTTAAAAATTAGTATATTTGAAAACACAACTAAAATTGTTACTTTACAGTAGCTGATATTAATATAACATTATCTCACACTAAATAGCCAAATATCAGAAGACTATTTCATGACTAATTTTAAATAATCTTTATTTTATAACAGTGATCCCTCAATCATTGAAAAATATCTTGAAGACAAATAGGTATTTAAAATCTTTCCAGGTATAGAACTTAAATGTGAAGAGTTACAAAATTTGAAAATTACTTATTTTACCTTAAGAAAAGTACTAGAATCTTTGTAAATTTCTTCTTCATACGGCAAATTTTCTTCTTCCTGTTGCATTTCCAGTTCATCCTTGAAAAACATAAGATTAAGTAAATATTTACAAATAGGGGCTATTTCTCTAATTATCACATCTTGATTAAAGCTCAACATAAATATTTTATTTCCTTAAGATTTAATAAATGCTTTAAGTTAGCATTAAAGTCAAACATTGAAGTCTTTGCTTTCCCATCATTAGATCTAGCTAATTGATTATTTTCACACAAAAAAATTTCCTCATCATCATAAACAATAATTACTATAACTATTTTGTTGACTAAATTATCTAAAATTATTTATCTTATACAATACTATAAATGTCAAGAGTTTAGTTTGAATCATAGCTATATGACCACCAGTGTTGCAATTTTATTTCCATTAGATTAAACCATATGAAACAGCTATGTTTATAGGTCAAAAGGTTAGAATATCAGCAACTACATATGGTTCCACCTAAAATAATCACAAATGCTTAAGTTACACATTATTAGAACTGCAACATATAAGACAATATTTATGAAATTAGGTACTATATCACTAAACTTTCTAGAGATTTTATTGAAACTATACATTCTTATCTCTATTATATACAATTAACCTGAAAAAACAAGTCTTTTGGCTCATAATACTTCCTTTTCAACTATTTCAACTAAATACTGCAATTACAAGTTAGAAGTTGGGTTTTCCTTGAGCCTGTTTCAGAAATATTTCTACAATGTAGACTAGGCCATGAATCCTAAAAATATCTTGATTGTTGTTAACATGGAAGAATAACTCCTCAAAAAAGACTACCGAAGCTTCTCAAAATCTGATCCAATTACTCAAAGTTTATTTTTTTTTTCTTTTCTTTTTTGAGATGGAGTCTCACTCTGTCACCCAGGCTGGAGTGCAGTGGCATGATCTCGGCTCACTACAACCTCTGCCTCCCAGGTTCCAACTATGCTCCTGCCTTAGCCACCTGAGTAGTTGGGAATACAGGAGTGTGCCACCATACCCAGCTAATTTTTTGCATTTTTAGTAGAGATGGGGTTTCAACATGTTGGTCAGGCGGTCTTGAACTCCCGACCTCAAGTAATCCACTGGCCTTGGCCTTCCAAAGTGTTGGGATTACAAGTGTGAGCCATGGCACTGGGCCTAAAGTTTCTGACACACTTATATCCTCACTTGTCTTCAAGAATATTACTGCTTGGTGCTTACCAGACATTATGCTGAGTGCTTTATATACAAAACTTAATTTAATCCACATAACTCTCATATTAAGATAAGAAAACTAATACAATGGTCTTAATTTAAGTGATAACATACATCACTGACAATTATTTTAGCACATCTTAAAATTAGGCTTTCCATCAAATTTGTTTTCATGGATATGAATCTATCATTTGGATTTTTCTTTGGCCATAAACTTATTTCACTATCTACTTGCCTTATATTCTTCTATTTTGTCTTCATCGGTCTCTCCTTCATCCAGATACTTACGTTTTGCATTTGGAGCAGAGGTATCATAGGAAGCCCTGAAAAATAAAACAGAAATACTACCCACAAATATATACAAATATAGATATGTATAACAAGTTATAAAAACAAAACAAGGAAAATTTTTCCTGATTAAAGAGTATCTAATTTACCCAGTTTGTTAGTCATCCAAAAAGTCGCACAACATGATTAATTTATTAATTCTGTACTTCATTATTAAGAGAAAGTAACCAAATGAGAAAATATGCTGCTATAGGGGATATATTGAAAAAAAGAAAACTTATATAGTATGCATTATTTTAACCTGTTTTAGCAACACAGATGGCCAAACTGAAGATTAGAATAATGAAAAAATTTTGAAATGCTTTCTGAACTAGCAAATAAATATCACTTTTAGGGTAAAGTATATTTTCTTTTATAAAAAAATTTTTAAATACACTTATTTATTTATAGTACATATGCTAATTCTTTGTCTAACATTCCATTTTCTAAGTACTTTACAAATGGGAACTTACTATCTTGAGAAAATAAATATTTAACAATGAGCTGATGATAAAAACCATTGTGTCTAAAATCATTATTTTGGTGCTTTTCTTAATATACTGCATACCTACTTACAGTTATTTGTTTATTCAAACAGTAATCCTTTCAGTTTTTTTTTTTTGACATATTCTCACTCTATTGCCCAGACTGGAGCTGTAGCACAATCAATCTCAGCTCATTGCAACCTCTGCTTCCCAGTTTCAAGCGATTCTCCTGTCTCAGTCTCCCAAGTAGCTGGGATTACAGGCACCCACCACCCCACCAGCAAATTTTGTATTTTTAGTAGAGATGGGGTTTCACCATGTTGGCCAGGCTGGTCTTGAACTCCTGACCTCAAGTGATCCATTTGCCTCGGCCTCCCAAATGCTGGGATTACACGCGTGAGTCACCGTGCCCAGCCCCTTTCACAATATTAACATGTCATTTAGAAAACAATGTTATTCGGCTGGGCACGGTGGCTCACACCTGTAATCTCAGCACTTTGGGAGGCCAAGGGAAGCATGCCACTTGAGCCCAGGAAGTTGAGGCTATAGGGAGCCACGATCATACTACTACACTCCAGCCTAGGCAAGAGTGAAACCCTGTCTCAAAAAAAATTATTTGACTGACCTGCAAGTTTCTCTTGTTTCAGCAATTTCTCTCTGCTCATCTTTGCTATTTAACACAGCACCAATGCTGTCGGCACTTTCAGCTCCCAACTGAGAAAAGGCAAAATCAGAAATTAGGTCACAATGCATTAGATAGCCTTTCTAAGCATTTGTAGCAGCATTTGATATATTAAATATTTAAAAATCATAAACACCTTAATTCACACACACACACACACACACACACACACACAAACACACACAAACACAATCAATTAATCAGTTTGCAAGACAAACTAGAAAAAACCTGGAAACAAACTGTATTAAGAATGAGTTTGACAGCTGGTAAAGCATGTTATGCTTTCAGTTATACAGATGCTCTTTGATTTATGATGAGGTTATGTCCTAATAAACCCATTGTAAGTTGAAAGTAAATCTGTTTCAAAACAAATGTTTTAAGTGCATTTTCAACTTATATTTTCCACTTATAATGGATTTATCAGGACACAATTCCACCATAACATCAAGTCAAGAAGCAGACTGGATGCCTATCACTCTTTTTTTTTTTTTTTTTTTGAGACAGAGTCTCACACTGTCACCCAGCCTGCAGTGCAGTGGCACTATCCCAGCTCACTGCAATCTCTGCCTCGTGGGTTCAAGCAAGTCTCCTGTCTCAGCCCCTGCGTAGGTGGGACTACAGGTGTGTGCCACCACACCCAGCTAATTTTTTTGTATTTTTAGTAGAGACCATGTTGGCCAGGATAGTCTCATCTCCTGACTTCATGATCTACCCAGCTTGGCCTCCCAAAGTGCTGGGATTACAGGCGTGAGCCACCACGCCCGACCGCCTATCACTTTCAAACCATCATAAAGTCAATTGTTAAGTCAAATGATAGTAAGTCTGGGGCAATCTGTATTTGAAAATAAGACACTTTAGCCAATTTCCTATAAAGTAATAAACATGATTTAGTACAGGTTGAGCATTCCAAAACAGAAAATCCAAAACGCTCCAAAATCTGGAAATTTTTGAGTACTAACATGACATTCAAAGGAAATGGTCACTGAAGCATTCAGATTTCGAGTTTTGGCATGCTCAACCAGTAAGTAATATGCAAATAACCCAAATCCTGAAAAGAAGTCTGAAATCCAAAACACTTCTGGCCCAAGCATTTCAGATAAAAGAGATTCATCCTGCAGTAGCAATAACCAAAAAAAAAAAAGGCAGCTAAGACAGTGTTTGCATAGGGTTGTGGGTGCTACGTTAATCATTTTGTAGGCATCAGCTCATACAATGTAATTTATATCGTATGTTCTAATAAAAAATCTATCTAGTTTTACTGAAGCTAAGTCTTAATATTTATAGACACAATGCTGAACTTTACTACCTTAAAATGGTAACATAAATTTTGTTTGGCAGTTGGGAAAATTTTGCAAAATACAAACAAATGTGAACAAATAATGGTTAAGATAAGGCTGGCTAAGTAGAGTGCAACCAATTCATAAATAAACTTTAAAAGCTAGACCAGAATGTAGAATGCAATTTATAGGCCATGAGGAATCATTTAATATTTTTAAGCACATGGGCCCAGGAGCTCAAGGTTGGAGTGAGCCAAGATCACATAACTGCACTCCAGCCTGTGACTGATCAAGACCTTATCTCGAAATATACATATTTTAAGCACAAGAAGGGCATGAAGAAATCTGTACTAAACAGTCCATTTACCTCAGGAAAAGGGAGGAAGCATACTAAAATATCAGACTAGCAAGTCACCAGCCTTGATCTTAAACAACTATCCACTAACCTTGTAGTCCACCCACACAATATGACTCCCCTCAGGTTTCCCCAATGATAAAGCTCTTCCAATATATCGACTCTTCTTGAAATTTCAACTCCTCCATAAACTCTTCCTCACTCCTTTTCTCCTTAGTCAGGAGGCAACAGACCTACTTCCTATAGTTGGAATGCTATCTAACTTTCTTCCCGTAACTGACTCCTTTCTTTTCCTATCTCAGATGAGTACACATTATTTACTCAGAGATTTTTTTCCATAAATGTATGGATAGGCAGTTCCCTTCCATTATTCTCCTTTTTACCTTGCTTCCTTATCAATTTCATGGCACTTAATACAACTTTATTGTATCTTTCACTTTCTATTTATATTGTTTATTTCATAGTCACAACTTTCAATTATTTTATTTGCATACTTCAATTATTTTATCAGTTTTTGTTCACTTCTCCCCAATAAAATGTAAAATCCCTAGAGGAAGACCCTGCCTATAAGTTCAGCAACTAGTATAACACTTGACTAACAGTAAATGTTAATCAATATCTGCTGAATGAACAAATGGTATTTCCTACTAGGGTCTCAATTAGGATACAATGTATCACAGGAGAAATGTATTAAATCATAATTTGGCTTACATGTTTAACTGCCTTCTCACAGGTCAACATTTTTTTTTTTTTTTTTTTTGGTTATGGTTGCACTAAACACGTTATCTGAATAATTATAACAATTTGATATCTTTTGAAGTTAACAAATGTGAACAAATAATGGTTAAGATAAGGCTAAGTAGAGTGCAACTAATTCATAAAACAAAACAAGCTGAAATAAAAGGCAGGTATAAGTTGCTGGTGATAGCATCCAATTGCCAACATCATGGTCTGGGCCTACCTAATGCATCCAACGTCTTCATTCAGCAGACCAAAGCAAATTATACACACTGAGTTGTGCTCTACACTGATATTTCATCAATCAACAAACATTTATTAAAAGCTTATTTTGTGCAAGAACCAATGCTGGGATAGAAGATTAACCCAACAGGAGTCAAATGCAAAGACTTTGCACCCGAACAGTTTGTATTCTGTTTGACAATTAACAAACGATATATAGTAGTGGACTCAACAATAAGGACAATGAAAGCTCAAAGCATGCGCCTAAGCCAAGGTCATCGGGACAGATTTCATCACTATGTTGTAAGCTGTGACATGGAAGCTACAAGGAATTCAGAACGGAAGGAGAACAATTTCAAACATCATAAAGGGTATACTGCACAAAGCGTGTTCTGGAGAGTAAGAAACCAGTCTGCCATGTTCATCATAAACAGAAAAGTAAGTGAAAGAGAGGCTGAAGTTAATTGGTAAAGAGGAAGAGGATGTTTGTCATTGATTATATTGGGCATCCTTACTAAAGCAGAATGGTTCATGTCCAACTAGAAGACCAGCAGACAGCTAAATGTACTAATAAAGATAGGGCCTAAGTTAAAAATTGCAGCTTGCAAACTTACCAGCTTTTTGGCTTTAGGCATGTAACTTCAATTCTTTGAGCTTAATTTCTTCATCTATAAAATGCTGATACAATCTGATATGTAGGATGCAAGATAATGTATGTAAAAATCTTAAAGTCTGACACATAATTAGAACAGACTTTAAAAATGGCAACCATCATTAAACTTTATGCACTTTTTAAGCTCTTTAAGGATAGGGGCTACCTATTACTTGTAGTTCATTTGCCAATGCCAACTAGAGCCCCTTGCAATTTGTTGAGTGTAAAACATTCAATAATTGTCCTATGAATGTATCCTGAGTCAAATAGAAGTCTGAATTCAATATTAAGGAGTAAAACATCTTCTGTGGTAGCAACAAAGAGCTACTGAACATTTTTGAAGAAGTTGGGGAAAATAAGACTTAGAAAAGATACTTGATTTGTCCAGGATTACAATGCCAGAGGGACAAGGGAAAAATGTGATTCCAAGTTCCCATTGTTTCAGCAGTATACCATAAATCTGTTCATCAGATCATAAATAGATTTCAGAATTCCATTTACTAAAACCAAGTTTCATGACTGAAAAATAACAGGAAGATGACCAATTACACTCCATGAGCATTTCTTCTAATCACTTTTACTGATCTGAATGGTAGAATGGAAAATATAGCCTCGATTTTAAGTAGAACTGTGCACAATCTGTATTCTTCACGTATACCCTACTGAACGGCAAATGTTAACTTACTCATATACAAGAAGCAGTGAAGGACAATGGTTTAGAAGACAAGCTTTGGGGAGACAAACCTAGGTTGTATTGCCCAGCCGAGAAGTGAGCAACCAGGAGTAAAATTCCTTAACCTATGGAGCCTATTTCATTATTTGTTAAGTTTAGGAAACACTACCTGTTTCAGATTATTGCGACTAACACAGAGTAAGATTTCAAATATTAACTGTGTGACAAGGATACTGTACATAAGATGCAGAATCTAAAATTTACACTTAGGCTACTTCCAGTGCAGTCTTAAGAAAGACGTCAAATACTACAAACGTATTTCACAATGAAACCACAATCTCAAGAATTTGGTGCTGACGACGAGAAAAAGTAAGAAACAGATGATGATTTAAACAGTGAAGAGAAACGTAGGGGATAACATGCCACTCATCCTGGCGTGAACTGCGGTAATTTAGAAAGACCAAAGCGTACATCCTTGCCAGACACTTGGTGGGCGTTCCACAGATTCGAGACCAATCTTAGCATTCGGTTTAGCATAACAAAGACCGCGGAAGGAAACAGAAAAACATTCGGCGCACCGCGAAAGTTGAGAACAAGAAAGGGAGAACCAGAGATCAGGATCGCAGGACCAGAAAGGCCTTGACAGCGGCAGGTAGAGAGGGGACAAAAAAAGGCGGGGTGTGGAAGTAGGAGGCGACCGCGCACTCGTATTCGCGATCCCTCCCACGGGGACCACCAGGGCCGCGGACCTGCTGCGCGAGGAGCTGTCGCCGTAACTTCTGCCGCTCCCGGATCTCCTGCAATCGGCTATCCATGTTCCAACTGCTGTTTTTAACTACCCCGAATATTTGTCAATCGCCAGTGAACCCTTGTCCAACTTTTCTTCCGAGTCTGTGGAACACAGTATTCACCGGGACCTTAAGAACAGAGGAACCACCATGCTTTCCTCAGTAGGTACTTCCGGCGCGGCAAGAATTGGCTCGCTTGGCCCGGAAGTCCCGCCTCCTTCCGTACGCTCGCGATCTGACGCCACTATGAAGGGACACAAAAGGGTCTATAGCGCTACAAGGGTATTCAGGCCTCTAGGTCGCCTCGGGATGGGATGATCTGAGCTGGTCGGAAGGAGGACAGTCACCGACCTCTCCTTTATCTCTGCCTCTCAGGGTATCAGACTCCCTTGGTGTATCACACTGTTTCCGAAGTGTTGATTCCCTTTTCTTTTTTTTTTGGAGAAGGAGTTTCGCTCTTGTTACCCAGGCTGGAGTGCAATGGCACGATCTCAGCTCACCACAACCTCCGCCTCCTGGGTTCAGGCAATTCTCCTGCCTCAACCTCCTGCGTAGCTGGGATTACAGGCACGCGCCACCATGCCCAGCTAATTTTTTGTGTTTTTAGTAGAGACGGGTTTTCACCATGTTGACCAGGATGGTCTCGATCTCTTGACCTCGTGATCCACCTGCCTCAGCCTCCCAAAGTGCTGGGATTACAGGCGTGAGCCACCGCGCCTGGCTCCCTTTTCAATTGATTACACAGATGACAATTCCTGACGTTTAAAAAATTGCCAGATACCTTTAACTTTTTTGTTTGTTTTAACTGAGAACACAAACTTAAGCCAGATTGCCCAGGAGTGAACCTTGGTCTCTCACTTCCTAGCCAAGTGGCCTTGGCTAGTTAACCACCTTCCTGAGCCTGAGTCTCCTCATCGGTAAACTGGGAGTAATAAGTGAGGTAGGAGTAATCGCTACCTCACAGAGCTGTGATTGAAAGGAAAAACAGAACGTGGCACATAGAGCTGTTTCCGTTTAGGGAAATGAGTGTGTGACAGTAAAGTGTGTCTTGGGTTATGTCCTAGGAGTCAGAAGCTAAGGGACTCCTTTTTGTGCTTGTACATTTGTCTTAACTGAAAATAACCCAAGTGGTAAGGAAACACATAGCTTCCTGAAATTACTCGGAAGTAATTTCGGGGATGCAGGATGAAGGGTGAGGGCTAGGAGGTGGTGATTCTCTCCTCAAAGGAAGGTAGCAAAGGCCAAAGTCTTATTTGAGTTATTACGATTATTATTCACCACATTTGCCATCTCGGCGGAAGTGGACTAAAACATCATGTTGCCTCAAGTTTAATTGGAAGTCGTGGTAAGTACTTACCAAAATTAGTAACAAGTCTGTTCTTTGAGAGTGGATTTAATTTTCAAAAATAATATTAAATCATCCAGATTAAAACCAGTTGAGTCAGGCTGGGCCAAAAGCGGGCAAGGACTAGTTTCCACTGGTCCTTGCCCACTTTTATAAAAATAATTATAATGTATTTCTCAAGAACTAGGTCTGAAAGGCAATTTTGAACAAGTATTTCTAAATTCCTTGAGTAATGTCAGCACTATTTGGATGCTGTAAAACATTAATGTCTATATGAGTTAAAATGTATTTCTTTAAAAATCAATTGTATTACCTGCCAATCATTTAAGTTGAATACTGATTTAAATTTTACCAATGGTAAGAATAGGCATTTATTCATTTAAATATCTGTTGATATTGATTGAACATTTTATATGGCAAGCACTGTGACAAGCCCTAGAGTCTATAGAGTTCATCAAAGATTAACTACGAAATAAGTCAATTTTTCTTTACGGCGTTTACTATCAAATGGAGGATTTTTTTTTTCCTGTTAAGGTGCTATGCAGGTTATTTGCCTGTAATCTTTGAGCCCCATACTCACCTACCCTTTGCTTTGAGATGATGGCTAGGCAGGGAGTACACAGACTACATTTCCCAGCCTTCTTTGTTAGATGGTTTCCTGTAAGACTCTGCCCACTGAAGGCACAGGAAGGAAATCAAAAGGTGGAACATGGGAAAACTATTGTCCATTTCTTTTACGCTCTGCTACTGGCATCTAGAGCAATGCCTATGTCCATTACAAAGTCTAGAGCACCTCTTTTCTTCACCTTAAGAGGGTGACACCCTTAACAATGAGTTTGCTCTTTGCTATGATACTACTACTTCTGCCTTCTGTTCCACCAGCTCAAGGAATGGTAGCCATCCTGAAGTTTAAAATTTCTAATTCAATCTTCTCCCTTTTTGGTCTTTTAGCCTTCAATACCTGCTTAACTATTTCTCCATAGTAAATTGTGTCTGTTTAAAATACTTTGAATGATTTGTTTTCCTGCCTGGAACTGTACTGACACAGATATGTACTACCATGTAATATTTACAAATCTGTTCAAGTAAGGCAGAGGGTTGTTGCAATTTTTACATAGAAGGGGATATAATTCTGAAATCTCTCTTCCAACTAATGAATTTATTATTATTATTATTTTTTCAAGACAGAGTTTTGCTCTTGTTGCCCAGGCTGGAGTGCAATGGCGTGATCTTGGCTCACTGCAACCTCCACCTCCCAGGCTCAAGGGATTCTCTTGCTCAACCTTTCAAGTAGCTGGGATTACAGGCATGCACCACCATGCCTGGCTAATTTTGTATTTTTAGTAGAGATGGGTTTCTCCATGTTGGTCAGGCTGGTCTCGAACTCCTGACCTCAGGTGATCCACTTGCCTCGGCCTCCCAAACTACTGGGATTACAGGTGTGAGCCACCACACAAAGGCTCCAACTAACCTGTAGAGTATCTTACATGCCCATCAGTAGCATCTATTTATTATAGCAACATAAGGGCCACTTGGGAGTGTGTGTGGTAGGAAGAGGAGGAAGAAATTTGGTAAGTCCTCACAGAATTCATACTTTTTGAAGAAGCAATTTACTTATAGGCACTTATTTTAAGGAAATAAAGAGAGATCCACATTATGACTTATGCATCTCTCCCCAAGCTCCTGGAGAATGACTCCTCCAAACCTATGCTCCACAATTCAGGATGCTCCCCAATTTATGATGGGGCTATGTCCCAATAAATACATCATTAAGTCAAAAAATTGTTAAGTAGTCCAGGCACAGTGGCTCCTGCCTGTAATCCCAGCACTTTGGGAGGCCAAGGCAGGTGGAGCAACAGAGGTCAGGAGTTTGAGTCCAGCCTGGCCAACATGGTAAAACCCCGTCTCTACTAAAAATACAAAAATTAGCTGGACTGGTGGTGGGCACCTGTAATCCCAGCTACTTGGGAGGCTGAGGCAAGAGAACCGCTTGAACCTGGGAGGCGGAGGTTACAGTGAGCTGAAATCACACCATTGCACTCCAGTCTGAACAATAAGAGTGAAACTCATGTCTCAAAAAAAAATTATAAGTGGAACCATTGTTAGTTAGAGACTGCTTGTGTAGCTAGTTGCCTAACATACGCCTTACTAGAATGCCCTCCACAGTTTCTGCTGTGGTGTACATAGCTAGGAGCTACCATATTAGTGAGCACATGTCTGGCTTCAAGAGGATAAGTACCTAAACCACTTAGCATTTTATACAATATTTTGCTGCCTCACCCTGCCAAATCTCATGTTGAATTGTAATCCCCAATTTGGAGGTGGAAGCTGGCAGTAGGTTTTTGTCTCCTCCAAAAATTCATATTGAAACTTAATCCTGAATGCAACAGTATTGGGAGGTGTGGCCTATGGGATGTGACTAAGTTGTAAAGGGCTCTGCCTTCATGAAGTATTCTTATAAAAAAGGTTTGGCAGAGAGAGTTCCTCTTTTGCCCTTCTACCTTCTACCATGTAGAATAGCATTCCTCCCCTCTGAAGGATACAGCATTCAAGGTGCCATCTTGAAAGCAGAAACTGGACCTTCACCAGACAACAAATCTGCTGGCAACTTGATCCTGGACTTCCCACCTCCAAAACTGTTAGAAATACATTTCTGTTCTTCATAAATTACCCAGTCTGTGGTACTTTGTTACAACAGCACAAATGGACTAAGACAATCTCAAACTTAACATGAATAAAACCTAAATTTATCATCCACTAAAAACAATTTTACTCCTATAGCATTTCCTATTTCAGAAATTAGGGTCAATATCCACCCATTTTCCTAAACAAGAAGCATCCCACCTCTCCTTCAGCCTCCATATCTACCCTGTGACTGTAGTTTTGCTTCTGGTTGTACCACTGACAGTTAGCATTCTTCATTTCTATAACCACAACCTGTGGATGACATGTATTCTGATTTGTATCCTAATTGTCTTATCTTTTTCCATTCTATCCAATTTTTCCTAGAAATTTGTGGAAAATTATATTCCATTGTATGGATGTACTATAGTTTGCTTAACTATTTGCTCAATGAAGGACATATATTAATAGTTTGTTTCCAGTTTTTGCTGTTATAAATAAAGCTACTGTAAAAATTCATGTACAGATTTTTATATTAATGCAAGTCATCATTTCTTTGGACTAGATGAATGAAGTTCAGTTATTGTGTTACATAGTAGAGGCATATTTCTTTTTTAAAGAAACTGCCAAACTGTTTTTCAGAGCATCTGTATTATTTTATATTCTCACCAGCAATGTATCAATGACCTAGTTTCTCTACATCCTTTCCAGTGTTTTCTTTATTTTTTCATTTTACTTTGTTTGTTTATTTTGAGACAGGGTCTTTCTGTGTTGCTCAGGCTGGAATTCAGTAGCATAATCAAGGCTTGCTGAAGCCTGATCTCCCTGGGCTCAAGTGAATTGCCCACTTCAATGCTGGAAGTAGGGTGGGGCACCAACCACCCGCAGCAGGATTGTGGGCATCTGCCCCAGGCCTGGCTGATCTTTCTTTTTTTTTTTTTCATGTTGCAGAGATGTGGTTTTACTATGTTGGAGAAGCTAATCTCAAACTCCTGAGATCAAGTCATCCTCCTGCCTCAGCCTCCCAAAGTGCTGAGATTATATGCATGTGTGTGGCCTATTTTGCCCATTTTAATAGATATGTTTATTTAAATTTAGGATTTTTAAGATAGAGAGCACACTTTGAATGATTAGGAGAGACATAAAATAGAAATAAAGATTTTATTACTTTCAGGTTGAGAGCACATGACACTCCTGGAGCCCACACACACAGAGGTCAGAGAGTGC